ATGTTGAGAGAAATGATCGCCTACGTTCATGGAAATTCACTGATGATAACGAAAAGGATTATGTGGAGAGCCATAATCGTCTACGTCCTGAAGGTACCAACAAATCATACCGATTCACTGATAATGAAGAAATGGAATTTGTAGAAAGACACGATCACCTACGTTCTAAAGTTAACAAAAACTCATGGAAATATACCGATGATAAAGAAAAGGATTGTGTGGAGAGCCATGATCACCTAGACCCAAAGGGAACCAACAATTATACAATTTCACTGGTAATAAAGAAAAGGAACATGTGGACAGCCATTATCGCCTACGTTCTGAAGGAAACAAAAAGTTATGGAAATTCACTGACGATAAAGAAAAGGAAGCTGTGGAGAGCCATAATAACATACATTCCGATTAAAACAAGAAGTCATAGAAATACGTTAATAATGAATAAAAGGAATCTGTGGAGAGCCATGATCGCCTACGTCCTGAAGGAACCAATTGTCATAGAAATTCACTGTTAATACATAAAAGGAATCTGTGGAGAGCCATGATCGCCTATCCTCTGAAAGAAGTCATAGAAATTCCCAGATAATAAAGAAAAGGAATCTGTGGAGAGCCATGATCGCCTACGCTCTGACGGAACATAAAATTATAGAAATTCATTTTTTGTCTTTGCTTGTATCGGTTTTCACCCTGGTCGGTGTGAACCGGCTTTCTCCCGAGCAAGTACAGCATCACGGACCATGGCTGCCCACGCTCGCCGATCCTGAGCCAGGTCACACGAAATGGTGAGCCAATCGCGATTCCATTATCGAAGACCAACTACTTGTGGACCCGATAGTACTGCTAGGTCATCCTTGATTGTGTTAGCCCACGTCCTCAGCTGCCCACCGACACGTTTTCACCAGCCAGGAAGAGGAGGAAGAAGTACATCGCGGATGAGCTCTCCCTCCGGGCGTCCAGCTGCGTGCCCGAACTATCGGAGACGACGCTGGAGCAGGACGGGTGGAAGAGGACGGAGACTCAGGCGACGACGTAGAGTGGCTGTGGGCACACGATCGACTCGCTGGCATCGTAGAATGCACCGAAGACAATCGTTGTCGAACACTTCAAGCCTTCGTAGGTCAACCGCTGTAAATGATGATAAATGAAAGGAATGTGTGGAGAACGATGATCGCCTACGCTCTAAAGAACAAAGAAGTTATAGAAATTCGCAGATAATAAATAAAAGGAATCTGTGGAGAGCCATGATAGCATACGCTCTGAAGGAAACAAGAAGTCATAGAAATTCACTGATAATAAAGAAAAGGAATCTGTGGTAAGTAATGATCGCCTGCACTCTGGAGGAATAAAAAATCATAGAAATGATAGATGATAATGAAAAGGAATGTGTGGAGAGCTATGATCGCCAACGTCCTGATGTGACATGGCATGAAAAAAAAAAAAATTATGCTGTTGGCCTTTTAGCATTTGTAAGCGATTAGTCGGAGTGTCCTTTATTGGTAAACATTTATTTTCGTCGGAGCTAAGCTGAACATTTTCTGTCTGAATTTGTTATCATTATATCCATTATTTACCGTTGAACTAATATCCTCATCTTTGCTGCTATGGACTTCATTGTGCATATTGTCGATTCATACAATTTGAAACCGGACCCTTTATTTAATCTACAGGGACGTATTTTTATCGTTCCGCAGTTCATGTCTAGGGATATCTCGCCTTGTTCTTTTTTTTTTTCTGTACAGTTCTATTAAAAATCAGTCCGGATAACAACGGCCGAAACGTTATGATAATAGCAATAAAGATGAAGATATTTTTTCAGATTGTAAATAATGTAAATAATTAAATGACGTTTTTAAATCAAAGCCACTGTAATAAAATTCTTTGCCATTTGGAATAAGGAAGTTCCGCTCAGTGGGATTTTTTTTTCCGGGAACTGCTTCTTTGTTGAAAATAAACTCTTGTCTGGATTCTTCGGTGAACACTATAACCTTCCCCTCTTCATTTTAAGGGCTATAGTCAATATCTACCCTCATAATTTTCATTTCTTTCTGTCTTCACTTACGTTCATATCACGCACACCTCATTCAGCAATCTTGTACCTCCTAATCCTTTTATTTGGTGAACTTTAGTATTAAAAAAAGTACCAGATCGGTGAGCCTCAATTCAATAAAGCATGCAATTAAAAAAAAAAAAGAGAACAGAACATAGAAAATAGATATATATCAAACAAAATTGAGTTTATTCAGAATAATGTCAACATCTTTGTTTTCGGGGAGATAAAAAAAACAACAACAAAAAAACAAAAACGTTACACTTTCTTTAACAATCTTTTGGTTTTTACATTCGTCATGCGATCGTATTGTAAATCCACAAATGCTGTAGGCATAGTACAGATACCCGTTCAACGGTTCTTATTCAGACAATGTTAATATTAGAATCTGTATTGAAAGAATCACAACACCCTCCCAACAAAATTATCGAAGATCCGTTTCCATCGTTTATCAATGAAGGGGGCCTGGTGTAATGGTTAACAAGCCAGCCTAGCAAACCATTATCACTAAAACGAGTTCGATCCTCACTGCATGCCTTACACATGTGCCTTGTGCCAGACTAAGCCAAGATACATTATAATGGATTTTACAAGCATTAAGACGAACATTAGATTGTTTATCACGACGCTCCAGCCCGAATAAGCTAGCGAAAGAAAATGCTTTGTTCAAGCGAGCTGTGGATCTACTGTGCAGTAGGATTCCGTGGTGATTTTATTCAAATTATTATCACTTTTCTAATTGCGGGTTTATCAAGTACATGATGATTACAGGACAGCAGTACAATATATGTTAAGTTGGTGTCTATTTGATTTGGGAACGTTCCATCTCGTCAGTATCGAATATTGAACAGTAAATCTCACGGTGTCCTGTTCAGTATTCTGCTCCTGAGCCATTCCCGAGTAACTCGTGCCTGTGATGAAGATAATACGGACATAAAATGAGTGATTAGATTTGTACACAAAAGGTACAGAAAACTGACCCCTCATTTTATGTACATTGAATATTTCAAAATGGTGACGATGTACGAGCCGATGAGGCTTTTAGTAGCCAATCATAGTGGGATATTCCATGTTATTACTTGAGCAGAAATGGTTGAGCAGTGTTGTATATAATAATAGCAACACCGTTTCTACCTGATGCCCAGCACACACACACACACATAAAAATAAACAATTAAGATGAGGATATTCGTTGCACGAAAATCCCATCTAAAAGTATGGCCGAGTCTTAGCGGACATTAAGAGGGTGGTTAGACTAATTCTCCGCTTAATGTACGTAAAATGATACCAATCATACTATTATATTGCAAGCGTTGACAACTACCCGCTGATAGTGACATTATTATTTATTTTTTTTTTTTTTTTCAACCGGAGACATCATATTATAGGTGTTCTTCATCAAGTCCTACTACCTCAGACAAAGCACTGTTCATATAATATTTACATTGCCAAGCAACGCGGACTTCAGAAGCGATGGGATACTAAGATCATTATTATCTTTCACCTGGATATATCACACTATGGGTGTTCTTCATCGAGTCGTACAACCTCAGACAGTCCACCATTCACATAATATTTACATTGCCAAGCAACGTAAACTTCTAAAGCGATAGGATACTAAGATTATTATTATTATTATTATTATAACATTTGGTTTAATGGAAAAACAAATAGACGACCTGTTTACTTTTAAAATAACAAAAGTAAAGGTCCCTAATGTATGCACTCCAAATACCAACGTTACAAAGATAAAAGAAACGCTTTTCTGAATAAACTCGAAAAATTTTTTTTTTTTTTTTTTTTTAAAAAAGAGATTATACAATTCAAATAAAAACAAAGACATGGTTTATTTTAAAACTCTGCATACGGGAGTGTTTATTATTTAACATTATCCAGAATACACCATAGACGTAATATTATGTCCCGGTTAGTAACCTGAGATGTATTATCTGAGGATAACAACCGAAACATTGTCCAATGGAGAAATACGTTAATTTCTGATTTCAAGGAGAGAAAGATAAAAGATTGAAAAAAAGTGCAGTTGTCGCTTTTTTCTGTACATGAGCACCTATAAATAGTGCTTTAATATTTTTTCAATATTTTTTCGTATAAAAACCATATTATAATAATAATAGTAATAGTTATTATTATTATTAATATTTTTTGTCACAATGATATATAGTCTACAAATACATAAAAATATTAACAAACTACACATCACAACGGTATAGAACATTGGTATTTTTTTTCGTAATTTTTTTCCTTTAAAAACGTTAATGAAATCAGAAACTTAACGACCTTACAGGCATTTCTTATTCACTTCTGCTTTTATTCATTCCATGTGTATAAATATATATTTAAAAAAAAGAAGTTTTTGAGGACTTTGTGAACATTGTCCATCTGATGTTTGATTTTAAAAAAAAGTTGTTCACAAAGCACTATACTATGACAAGAAATTGTGTTTGTTGCTATTTGGGGGAATTCATGTCTTTTTTTTGTTTTTTTTTTAATGTTTTCCTGATGGAATCGATTCGTCTTTGACATATTTTGGTCGTATTACGTTTCCAGCATTATCCTTCTTTATAACCTTTTTAATTTCTCAGTCCCGTTTCCCGTTTGTTTTTAAATTTTCTTTTTTTTGTTTTATAAATTAAATAATGTTATATTTTTATTTTATCAGGATTGATAATTTTTGGTAAAAAAAAAACTTTTAGAAAGAAGGTTAATGCAAAGAAAATTGGTTGGTGGCACGGATCTTATGTATGCATTCGATTATCGATCCCAAATTACAAATATTGATCGTTGTTTCCTCCATTGGACATATGAGTGGATGTGTAAGATGTGGAAAATCCTGGACTGCGGCCTCGAAGAGTTGAAATGTGGTTACTGCTGGAGTTGTTTGGAGTCAAAGACTGTCGGAGGAAAAGAAAAGAACGGATTAGTTAAAAGTCTGCTGTTAAAAAAGAAAGAATGAATGAAAGGAAAACGAAAAGGGTGAAAACAAAGAAAAAAGAAAGAATGGAAGGAAAACGAAAAGGATGAAAAAAAAAAAGAAAGAATGAAAGGAAAACGAAAAGGATGAAAAAAAAAAAGAAAGAATGAAAGGAAAACGAAAAGGATGAAAAAAAAAAAAAATGAAAAGAAAACGAAAAGGAAAAAAAAAAAGAAAGAATGAAAGGAAAACGAAAAAAAAAAAAAAGAAAGAATGAAAGGAAAACGAAAAGGATGAAAAAAAAAAGAAAGAATGAAAGGAAAACGAAAAGGATGAAAAAAAAAAGAAAGAATGAAAGGAAAACGAAAAGGATGAAAAAAAAAAGAAAGAATGAAAGGAAAACGAAAAGGATGAAAGGAAAACGAAAAGGATGAAAAAAAAAAAAAAGAAAGAATGAAAGGAAAACGAAAAGGATGAAAAAAAAAAAAAGAAAGAATGAAAGGAAAACGAAAAGGATGAATGCATAGTTAGAAAGGGATAGAAATTGAGGGTGATCCAGACAAAGAGGGTGTAAAAACGAGAAAAAAGAAGAGAGAGAACGAGACAAAATGGTGAGCAAGAGAGAGAAAGGACCAAAGACGGAGTATTAAAAAAAAGAAATAAAGAAAGAAAGAAATGAAGAAAATGGAGAAAAAGAGAAATAGAAAGAAAATAGGAATAGAAACAATGAAACTGTTAAAGGTAAAAGAATGCAGATAATTTAATAAAAGTTCGCATGAATTTACTAATTATTTCAGAAGTCACTTTTTTATCTGTCAAGCTGCCTTCTATGCTTTATCAGTTTTCTAAATAAACAATATTTACACAAATCCAATTAATAAATAATAGATTTGCGTTAAGAATAATTATTATAATTAAAAAATAATAATGTCAAGAAATTTTCTTTGTCGCGTCTAAAGAGAAATGCAAAAAAACTTCGGTCGTATATTTCTTTTAGTTTTCAAATTACCGTCGACAAATCGAAAACAAATCGTTTTCATGACAAGTCGTATGTAAATTCCAAATGGCTGAGAACTAATGACATTGTTAAAATATGTTTTTTTTTTTTAAAATTATTAACAACTAATGACAGGTGTAGTTCCGAGCAGTTTTTGTATTGAACTGATGAGGTGTGACTCACCTTTGATTGAAAAAAAGATTTGATGAAGGTGATTGTTGTAAAAACATCAGTTTTAAATTGATATACTTTAAAAAATGGTTATGTATTTAGTTTTATTCATTTTTTGTTGAAAATTATTTTTTAATTATTTAAAAAAATGTGACAGTGGAGACATGTCTTCTGAATCAAAAATGCAACCGCCTTTTTTTCCTTTTTTTTTTGAGTTGCAAACACATTTAGAAAGAGAGTTATGACGTAAAAGGAATACGAAATCAAATATTGCAACGACTTCGATGTTTTTTGTTAATATGATGCACATTAACTTTTAGCGAAAAATTATTTTAAATTAAAATTATTTAAAACTTAAACTGATGTAGTTAAATATACTTGCTTCGCCACTGTCGCATTTATGAATTAAGTAGAACAGATCAAACCATTAAAAATAAAAAGCACACAGCAAATTAAAAAAAAAATCAAACTAAAGTTCAAGCAGTTTTAAAATATAACAAGCAAAACTTGATACAAATATTAATATTATATACACTAACAATAATGAACAGTGAAAAACTCGACTAGCTAAGAATAAGATACATATGGCAAAAGGAGCAGATAACTGTCACGACTAACTACACATTTACACATCGACGTGTAGTGAATTTTTTGCAATGACAAAATTAAGGATGTTACAATTCTAAAACACAGAGGTTAAGGTTTATTAATAAAAGCAAGTAGATGTAGAATAATATATATTAAGTGAATATAGATACGAAGATCATGAGATGATTATGATTCGTAAAATGATAAAAAATATGTATTTTTCTTCGAGAAAGATGAGAGATGATGATGATGGTCACCAAACTAGTGACTGTATTATCAGTAGCCGTGAAAATGTTTGTATCTAATGAAGAAATTGTCTCATTGCAGGTTCCACGACTACAAAATACCCGTGGCAATTCCCGTGTTGAACCGTTAGATATTTGAGCTTATTAACTTTCACAAAATATGGCTGCAAGTCGTTATTTAAAGAAATAAAAGGGTACAAATGAAAAAGATCTTGAAATTGCTAAGATTTTCCATTTCACTGAAGCAGACATTAATCTTATGAGAGCATTATCGCTGCCTATATATTCTCTCTGTTTCTTAATAACAATCATAAGGATAAATGCAGATCATTTTTAAAGAAGAGGGTACAAATGAAAAGACTTGAAATTGACAAGTTTTCTCGCTTCACTGAAGCAGATGTGAAAGCGTTATCGCCTCCTCTATCCTCTTTTTGCTCACTGAAACCAAACAGCGTCTCCGATATGTCTTTTCCGCTTTTCCTAGTGATCAGAACGGAACATTCTATTATATATGAGGTTTTCTCAGAACTTAACGGACGTTCTGGTTACAGAACAAGTACAATTATAATATGGCCAGAAAGACACGTGAAAGTTTCATGGTTTTCCTATTTGAATTTTCCGTTGAACCTTTATTCTTCAGTTAATGACTGAATAAGCTCATGGCGGGTTCTACGACAATAAAGCAGAAAATACCCCGTCGTATCGTTAAATATTTGAGCTTAGCAACTTTAACAAAATATTGCAATAACAATCATAAATATGAATACTTGTCGTTATTTTTTAAAGTAAAGGTGTACAACTGATAAGATTTGAAATTGACAACTTTTCCATTTTACCGAAGCAGACGTTAAGCACATGAGAATGTTATCGCCTCTTCCCTTCTTTCTTTCTTTCAGTTTCTCACTGAAACCAAGTAGCGTTTCTGATGTCTTTTCCGCCATTTCCACGCAATCAAAACGTAATAGTACATTATGTGGTATTGGTAGGGTGTAACGATACGTGCTAACTAAGGGACAAACAGAATTATAATGAGACAATTTTCTTGGAATATTCGAGAAAAAAAAAAAAACGGAGGAGAATAAAAGGAAAGATTTTCATTCATTCTTCACATGCCGTAGAGATATCTTTTTCAAAAGAAAGGGGAAAAAAATCTTCAGGCTGGTGAGGTCATTTATGAAAGTTCAAGGAACTAAGAACACGTAGATGCATTTACTATGGGAATCCTTTTTTTGAAGACGGTGGTCGGAAGTGTGGATTTTATTGAAGAACGGGCATAGGTATGTCGTTTTGGTAGGTAAAAGGGTTGAGATAGAAAGGAGAGAAACGGTAACGGTCTAAAGGTCCATATCAATCAACACCGAAGGGGAACACAGAAAGAATCGGGTATTAATCAGGGTGTTGGTCAATGCCAAAAGTCGAAATCTTACCGTTGGTTCACGAAGAAGTTGATTTACTGAAAAGATAATATTAAATTGGATTTATTGAAGGTTGAAAGTTGTTCCGTTTTATCCAGGTTATCCGTTACAAAGATTTAATATAGATTTGTAGTTCCCAAAGAATAAGGCGGGAAAAAATTCAATATATTATGAGATCGCAGATGTGTACCATAATATAAGATATATTAATCTCTATTTAAAAAAAAAAAAAGGTTCCATATATCCAGAGTAGTTTCATGTCTCGATTGATTTTAGTCATGGGAAAGAATCCAACATTTTTTAATCAAACCGTTGATTTTATTTAAAGTATTTCCTTTGGGATCAATATTTCTTTTAGCTCTAAAGGCGAGCTTCGACAAAATCGATGTTTTAAGAAAATAAGTTATCAGTTGATATAAATAATTGTAATGGCAGCATATTTGCTTAATATTCTATTCAATAATAAAATCCATTAATTGACTGAGGAATGATAAATTGGGACTTTAGTCGCTTGTTTGCGATCGAATTCCATCAAAATTGATCTGTACAAAGTATTAATTGCTGGAGCCAATATCTGATCAATTTGTTCCAGTTAAAAAAAAATGCTGGAATCAGCTCATTGAATCACAACCATTTACTTTCCTATTTATCAAGCCAGGCTTCACATGTTCTGGAAACAATTGTCTTGCCATTATATTAATTTTAAACAGTAAACTGAAGAGTTTTTTTTTTTTAAATATGGACGCCATGTTTTCACAAGGAAAAAATGAAGAGACGCGTCGAAAATAATTGTGTGTTTTGACATGATGGATTTTCTTGTGCTGACGAGAATAAATGGATGGATGAATGATGATATAATCAAATGGTCAAACTAAATACGACGAAATAATACTAATAATAGCGGCTGAAATAAACTGTTGAATCAAAAACAGAAGCTTAAGCGAAATAAAAGAAACAAAAAAAGATAACATTAAGCTGTACAAATGGAGGACAATTACGTTAGTCATGCAGCTACTTTCATTGATGATCGTACCTTTGTTTTCATTGATTCGATGGAGCTCTGGCCCTTACGGCACCGGGCTAAGAAAGAATTGAGTGGGAATAAACATCTAAGTCAGTTTATACAGACAATTACAACAGAAAAATTGGCCTCTTCATTCATATATGTGAGAGTATACTTAATAGGTTGAGCTAAACCAACTTTTCGAAATCAAGATAACCAAACATCAGAACTTTTTGGAAGGGTCTTTAGTTTGGCTGAGAATTTTTCAGAACCCCTAATATACATTCAATAAATCATAAAATGCCCAAATCCTGAAAGGTTCAAATCCTGGTTAGCTGACTCTATAGTTTCAGATTGAAGCGCTCATCAAGGCCAGATGTTTGATAGATCATCAGGGCCAGATGATGTATCAATGGGAAATTCTGGAAGTGGCTAACTGATGAGTCGACTGAACGTTTTTGATTTATTGTATATTAAATCTTTTGTTACATATTGAGCTCTTTTTAGTAGAAGTTTTGCTAGCCTGAAGAAACTCGTAAAATTCTTTCAACTTTCACATATTTCTTCACTATATATATATATATATATATATTAGTTATGACGTGAAGATTCGGTTCTGATTCTATCTTCTAGATGGAAGACACACCACGATTTAGGTTTCTGAACTCAATCCAACAACACAAGCAGCTTTTATTTATTTATGTTATTGTTCTAATTTTGGCTAATCCTCATCGCCAAAATGTTGTAACCTAGGGAAGGTTACTGAACAAAATAATCAAAAAGGTTGGTAATGAACGATAATACTTAGGGCACAAACAACACATATAAGATTCACCAGTGGCGTGTAGAAGAATTAGTTAACTGCTAGAAATGTGTCAAGTGAATTCAACAACGAATCTCCATCTGCAGACCAACATACAGTATTTACTACTGTATTTATGTGAATGTGGACATGCCCATTATCATCCATAGGTATGCTACAACAGTTATATAATACCGTAGTTTGCATCGTTTATGACGAATTTTAATTTTTTCCAAATTAGATTATAAAAATAACTACTTTCTCGACACAGAAGGTCAGACTTGTGAATATGTCTGATCTACTCAGTAGGATTCCGGACAAGCTGTAAAATGTTTTTTTTTCCCCTTTATTTTATTATTCCAGCATATTTTATGCTAATTTTTAATTGCGTCTTATATGTTGCAAAATTCGTAAAAACATATTTTGAAGAACTAGCTTTTTGTTTTGTTTTTTAATAATGGCGTTTTGATGCTGTGATGCGCTTTTTACCGAATCCATTTATTAAGAATTCGGAAGCTTTTTTACCTTGCTAAATATGGTGCTTATCTCTATATAAGTATATAAGTTCCATCCATCCGTTTGTTTATAATGTTTGGTAAGAAAACGGAAATTTTTTATAATGAAAAGAAAATTAGAACGAAATCGACATGTAACCATAAAAAGTGACGAATTACTAATCAATTACATAGAAACGAAAACAAATGGAAATATATAACGAACAAGTGAATTAAGTAATGAAAAAAAAATAATTAAAGTGCCAAAAACTACTCTATGTCACTCAGCAAACAACTAATTGTCGATAAGACGTTCAAGTGCTATTTGGTAGACACAAATTATTTCAAACCCGTTAAAAAGTAAATAAAAGAAAAAAAACACCGAACGAAAAATGTGGGTGAACAACTTATATATCAGTTACATTGCATAGAAAGCCCACACAAGCACACACTCGCCTAGACAGGTGTATAGGAAAAAAATAAATAAATAAAACAGCTTTTGTGAGTCAAATTGATCAAGAGTATCACATTCCCAAAATCTCCGTGAATTGAATTTCAAACCGTGCAGCGTGACCCTATTTTTGAAATTAAAAGTCACATCTCGAATCTTAGTATTTTTTATAACTTCGGCTCAAATACAGATAATTTAAATCCCTAAAAGCCAAGCATCTATATCAAATTAAAAACACCATCTCATTCTTTTTGTATATATAAACTTATCCGTCCCATATCGAAAGATACAAGGAGAAACGCCAGTAAAACCAATAAAGTGTGATGGTACTTGTTGGACGCCCTAGGTTAATGGTAATGATGTTTCAGCCCCGAACCCACGTCTAGTTCCAGAGTTAAGGCAGAGGTTAGATGTATAGATATTTTTAAATTGCAGCAGGGTAATAGAAATATATAAATTTATTAACGGAATTTAGGAATTCTCTGTATTTGCAGATGGAAATCTCTGGTCAACTTTCCTCGCAAGTACTTGCGGAAGCATCATCAAATGATAGAAAAATGAGGTTTTAATATTTTAAAGTCTTGAGCTTGGCATCCATATGAAAAGGGAGGTACAGGGAATTAACTGAAGAGATACAAGATTCGACGAGAAAGTAGAAAGAAATCTACTTTCTCTTTCAGTTGGCTGAGCCGAGACGAGAGAGATGCTGACTTTGGCAAGGGATGGTGAAACAAGAATAAAAAAAAAATAAATAAAAATTAAGCGGTTTTAGCGAGTGAATAAGGACCTCTTCATGGCGAAGTTTGTCCTGATGAAGAGCTAAGGTGCAAGTTATAAGCAAAGCTAGTTTTATATTACAGCAGACTCTTGTGTTGCTGGTGTGCCGTTGTGCAAGTTTTACCTGTATTTTTTTTTTAAGCCATCAGTTAGTTACTGAACCTGAACGCACTTGGACTGAACTGCCTGGCTGTTGAAGAAACGTTGTCCAAGGGAAATGAGAACAAAAAATCAGTAATTTTAATCAATCAAAAAGGTGGGTAGATGATTCGAATGAGATGAAGTGAGATCAAAATTTGTTATTGCATTTTTTCCCAGAGTTTTTTTTTTTTTTTTTTTTTTGCCCAAGAAGAAAAAAAAAAATCAAACGTGAAGTACTCTTTCTGATCAATTGCTTGCAAAAACAAAAGAAATTTTACCTACAGGAAGATACTTAATAAAAAAAAGCCTATATTGTTTTAAGGAGCACAGAGACGAATTATTTCGTTTTAGAAGTCAGTTAAATTATCTGAAGGTATGTTTACTCTAGATAAAAGACGACTAACAGTTAATTTTTTAAACATTTTTTTACTCCAATTAATAATTTTTACTATACGGGATTAATTAACATCTTGGTGACAATGAGAGTAAAATCAAAATAGGGTAGATTATTTCAAATATTAGCAATACAATAATACTTAAATTCGTTTATATAATTTAGATCTGTGTGAATGAAAGTGTTATGAAGATGAAGATTTTCTTACCATGGGACTGGCACGAGCGGCGGATACAGAGCTACGGTTCTTGGCACGAAGCTTTTGCAAAGCACCTTCGGACTGATCGGCCCTTTCCTCAGCATCTTCGAGTTCTTGCTGTACTTTACGGAACTTGGCGAGATTAATGGCGGCAATTTCCTCCTGAAAGTAAGAAAAAAAAAAAACGAAAAATTGAAGAATAGTCATAAGATTATGTCTATTATATAGATAATCAATTCCCCCAAAGGAAGGCGATAATATCAGGCGCAAGGGGTGGGAGCTACTTGGAGGGAAAGAGAAGAAAAAGACGTTAGAAAGAACTGGAAACCCAGTCCTAAAAGAGAACAAGGGATAAGCCTCTACTCCTGTTCAAACGACCGAGGGGGAGTGTGAACCGGACGATAGGCAAACCCATCAAATATATATATATATATATATATATATTATATTTGTTACGTGAACAACCAATTCGAATTTTGATTTGTACAATTAACTCTACCGTCGCATATAAGAAAAACACTGTAAATCATTAAAAAACTTTAAAACTTTAAAATTAAATAATATCTGACACAAAATAAAAATAAACAGTATTTTATTAAGCAGCCTGATTTCCCTACTTACTAAAGAGACTTTCTGTCATTATGGCAACATGAGTCACGTTCGCTTATCAACGTCGAGTAGTGACTCCAGTTACTATAACAACGGGCTATCTCGTTAGTAAAGGGGTCAAATTACGCTGCGTCAATGCGTATTATTTATAAAAAGAGAAGAAATTTCAGAATTATGTACATGCAAAAGGAAAACAATTTACTTTGCTACAAGTTCGGCAGAGAGCGATAATGTAATTTTTTTTACGGGTACTATGCTAGTATATAAATTAGAGAAAGAAAAGAAGCAGAAGAAGAAAAAATTGTGGTCAACTTACAGCTTCTTCAACCTGCCTCTTGTAGGTCTTAATCTTATTTTGGAGTTTATCTACGAGTTCTTGCATACGTTCATAGTTCTTCCTGTCTTCCTCTTGTTGGAAGGACAATTCCTTGAGGCGACGGTCAACCTTACGCATGCTCTTCTGAGTCTCAGCGTGACGCCTCTGTTCGCTGTCAAGCTCAGCTTCCAACTCGCGGACCTAAAGAAAGAAAAGAGTGTAAAATGATAGACGTAACAAATCGATAAAGCTCACTACTACCAATATAGATAATGTTATTAGAAGATGAATATTTCACGATCTTTACTTAGAGCCACACGAAATGAAAAGTACCAAAATCTCAATGATGATTTAATTTGTGGTAACTTTCTACTTACTCTGCTCTCGAGTTTTTGGATCATCTTCTTGCCTCCCTTGAGGGCAGCGGATTCGGACTCATCCAGACGGACCTGGAGTTCCTTAACTTGTGATTCTAAGCTCTTGCGCATCTTCTCAATGGAAAGACCATGGTCTTGTTCTTGTCTGAGCTCATCGGCAAGGCGGGTGGCATCAGCCAGAGCGTTCTTGGAACGGTCATCAGCGTCCTTGAGTTCATGGTTGAGCTCGTCCAAGTCGGATTGCATAGCTGTGATGTCGCCTTCGAGTTTCCTCTTCTGGCTGTTGGCGGTGGATACTTGGGCTTGTAATTCATTGACGCGGTCGCTGGCATCAGCCAACTCATTCTCAGCAGCCTTGCGGGCACGCTCAGCCTGGAAAGAGAGGAAGAAAAAAAGAAAAATGATGATATTTTTGTTGCTAGTGTTTCAGATGTTTGCATTATTCTAAGTAACAACAATTTATTGTCAGCGAAGAATTTAGGAAAGACACGATTCATTCAATTGTAATTTATAAGTTGGTTTGAATTTAATAATATTTTTTAAATCATTTCACCTCGAGCAAGGCGATAAAGTCACTAAGATACAAAGAGAAAAAACTTTATTAAAGAGAGAGGACAATAAAAGAACAGGTATTTAGAAGACAGAAGATGCGATTGATACTGCATTTAAATTTTTGAAGATCGGAAAGCAAGAAGCCAGAAAAGAGTTTCGCAAGCAAGAAACGCAAGGGAAGAAACTGTTAGCATAGAAGTCTTGGTTGTATTTAGAAATTTCAACCGTAAAATGATGAGACCTAGCTGCCAATCTAGTACTACGCTTAAAGTCGTAAAGTTCCAAAGAGGAAAGCTCATCAGAAGAATTACCATGAAAATATTTATAGAAAAGGTACGTGAAAGCTATATTACGGCATTGGGAATGTGACTGAAGCCGAGATGCCATGTCAGGTCCGATATCATTGCAGATTCTTTAGATTTTATATATAAATGATACTTTTTAAGTCTATCTGAATTCTTGCGCCAGGCGAAGCTAAATAAAAATAAGGAATCAAATGTTTAAACTATTTTTTCGATGTAGGATATCAGAATGGTGACTGAATAGATTGTTATTATAGTTATCTCTGTAAAGGAAATTTCACAGGAAATTGATGGCGGAAGATTTATGTGTTATGCCAGCCCTATTGTCCAAGTCATAATTCCAGCCAGTCTAATATTTGCATATTAAACAAAAAATCTTTTATTTTATTTAAATGCTCGTTTTATCCACCGACCAACTAGTATTTGATCCTCTCTTAGAGTCTAAATTTGTAATTCTTACCTGTTCAAGAATAGTGCGGAGTTCTTCGAGTTCACCGTTAATGGCGGCGCACCTCCTTTCAGCCATCTGGTAGTGTTCCTTAGCCTCATCACGTTGGCGCTGTTCTTCTTCGACTTGTGACTGTAATTCCTGTTTGGGGGAGGGAAAAAGAAAACAAAGACATTGGTTAAAAAAAATGACAAACTCATCAGATAACGTTCATATGAAAAATTAGATATGGCACAAAAATAATGAGGATGGTGCAGATAGAACTCACTACTCAGTCGTTATTGATCTAGCGTAGGAGTTCTCAACTAGTCGGGGGGAGGGAATTTTCCTTTAGAGTTGATTTTCAGGGTTTCAAGGGGCTAGGGAAAATCTTACTTTTTCTTGTTTTTTTTTTTTATTTATTTACAGAATTTTGTTTATTGAATTACAATACCCCGGTATTATATGGAACTTTTTGTTTATCGAAGTCTGCTTCAATTTATTTATTTAATAATTAGCTATGAATTAAAACAAATTACTGTACATGTATTGAAGTATAAAAACATTTTCTATTGCGATTAAACTTATAAAACTCATCTATAAAAATAAGATTTTCAATAATATATACATATTATTTGGAATGCACCTTCTGATTGATGGTGAAAAAGGTGCATGAGGCAAAAAAGGTTGGGAATCCAATGGCCTAGCGAGGTACGTTTGTTCGTCTGAACATTTGACATGAAAATAGCGATAGAGTAGCGAGATGCTAACAATGTTTTGTCTGTGGGACGGGTGTTATATTGTCTGGTTTTTAATCAATTTACCCCAAGCAAGGCAATAATGCCACTAAGACACAAGGGGTTACTGTGAGTGAAAAAAAATGAGTAGACTTTCCGAAGGAAACAGAAACCCAATTATAAAGAGAAAATAAGGTATAAACATCTACTCCTGTTCAAGAGACCGGAGAGGGTTGAATACTGAAAGTGAGATATATTGAATATGGACCTCACTGCAACAGGAATGGCCTGAAAGTTTTGTTTGCTGATCATTAGCTATTACTAAGTCACCCATGCAGATAGTTGCTTCTTTGTGGATTGCTTACCCTGATCTGTCCTTGGTATTTTTTGACGTTCTTTTCCAATTCTGCTTTTCCTCTGTTGGTGGCGTCAAGAGCAATTTCAAGCTCGTTGATGTCTCCCTCAAGTTTCTTTTTGATACGAAGTGCTTCAGCCTTGCCCTTAGCCTCAGCTTCCAAGCTAGCCTGCATAGATTCAATGGCACGTTGGTGGTTACGCCTGCAAAGACAAAACATAGAACATTAGAAATATTCACAATCCTGGGGTATAATCGATATTAAAAGCAACAATTCAGCGACTTCTTTCTGAATTTTGACGACATAAGAGAGAGTGATTGATCGATTTGTTTTTTATGGCTTATCAACCTTTTTGAGGTTATTTAAAGTCGAAACATTTTTGGATTGTAAGAATTTGGAGGGAGATAATGATTTTCTGATACCAATCTTACTATTTAACCCAGAGCTGGGAACATAAGAGTGATATTTGCGGATGATTAAAATTAATTTCTTATTTTGAACAGCCTAATTTATTTCAATTAATACCCCTAATTTGAGTAAATATGCCGTAAATATCATAGTTAAAATATTCTGTTTGACATAAAGAGGGGGATCTGTTTTCTATCATCATTAAGTAATAAACTGATCCCTCAGCAATTATTGCATGTTAATATTAAGTGGTAAAATAGTTTGTAAATAATCACAATCATTCAATTCAGAGTGGGATGCTAGGGTTGTCAGTTTCGTTTAACCACTGGGCATGCCAGAAGAAACATGAAGCGTTTCTTGTTTCTGGAGATCCGTCTCCAAAACAGCACCTACCCATTGCCTTTTTTTTGCGCTACAAAAGTGCCTATTTGAGCATGTTACATTAAACCGAACTTAATGTCATATGTTACCGGGAGAGAGTCGAATAAATAAACTCACCTTGTGTTGTCGAATTCCTCTTCCTTCTCCTGCAACCTTCTATCAATCTCTTGGCGGATCTGAGAGATTTCAAGAGTTGAGCGCATAACCTTAGATTCTTCCTGTTCAAGGGCGGCTTCAGCCTCCTCAAGAGCGGCCTGAAGTTCCTCTTTCTCCAAAAGAAGACGTTTACGGCTTTTCTCCAACTCGTGTGTGCTACGACCTCCTTCTCCGAGCTGATCTGTCAAATCGTGGATTTCATCTGAAAGCGAGCAAATATAAGAATTATTAGAGCAATGATTCAGTTTTTCATTTGTTATTATGTCATTATTTTCATTTGTTATTATGTCATTATTTTCATTTGTTATTATGTCATTATTTTGCTATGTCATGTATTTCAGTTGAAAGTTATCAAAAAAATTACTTCTTAGGAAATATAGGGGCGTGTTTTACAGTTGTCCTCTCCATTGTTTTAAATTCAGAGCAGACCTTCTCCATTTAGGACAATGACGAACATGGATCTCCATAGATTCATTTTCTGTATTGGTTGTGAATTGCCATGAATTCTTGGGAAAGATAGTGGAGTGGTTTCCCATTGCCCTCACGACGGTTTTGAATTCATAGAAGTCATTCTTCACTCAGGAGGTAATCAGCGATGGCTTTCCATAGATTCTTTTTCTTAATTATCTGTGAATTGCCATAGCTTTTTGGGGGAAATATTTGAGTGGTTTCCTGCTTCTCCAGAGATTCGTTTTCTTTACTATCTGTAAATTGCCATGTATTCTTGGAGTAAGATAGTGGAGTGGTTTCCTATTACCTTTTGAATTCAAATTAGTCTTTTTACATTAAATAGGTAAGAGATCATGGTTCCCCACAGATTCCTTTTCTAATATATCTATTCTCCCGGGCAGTTTCGGGTTTGTGCTTATACCAATAGACTGTATGGACGGTAGAATTATTGTCTAACAAGGATGGGTATGATAAGGGCAACTTACCAGCAAGGTTCTTGTTCTCTCTCCTCAGAGACTCGACGGTATCTCCAACCTCTTCACATTGAGCTCTGACACGGAACAGTTCGGCTGAGTAGCTGCGGGCCTCCTTCTGAGCATTCTCGAGTTCGGCCTGGAGATCGTTGCATTTGTGTTGCCATTCGGAAACAACCTTGTCAAAGTTACGCTGTTTCTTTTCCAAGTTGTTGGCGTGGGCAGTGGACTGAAAACGGAGAGAACATGGACAGTGATTAGACACCCCGATCACTAAAAAGAATTCAAAGAGGGCATCCATTTTTCACTTTCTTTCACTTTTTATCTTGAAATGTATCAATGACTAGTTTTAAAACTGAACTATTAGGAACACATAGGTCGAAATCGTCGATATATATATATCCATATCGTATTTAGTACTTCCGGTAAATTAAATACATTGTAAATTATTCATCTGAATATTTTCCGGACATTTCACGCCTATAATATATTGAGAAATATGAAATTGAAGGAGGATAAAATAAAATATTTTTATTATAATAAATTTCAAGCAATTAAGTAGGAAGTCATTTTTTTAAAAAAATTCTATCGACTTACCCTCTCAGCATCAATAGCGAGATCTTCGAGTTCTCCTTGCAAACGAGATTTAGCTTTTTCCAAAGCTGCACATTTGGAGTGGAGTGTGTCAGCGGTCTGTTCAGCCTCGCTAAGTTTGGCCTGGAGCTTACGTCTGAAAGAATCGAAATAAATAGAAAACATCAGAACAAGGAAACTATTAATATATTCTACATTCCCCTATAAGAAAGATTACTTAGTTTTACCTTCGTCAGACAAGGCTACATGTAAGTGGCACCAGATTTGGTTCAAATTCACTACCAAAATATTGGTCTGTGAATATAACTTGCTAGCTATTACACCATGGCAAAGCATGTCGAAGTGATTTACTGAAATTGACTTCTAGCATAAGGCCACATAAAAGAGAACTTGGTGAGAATCACTACAACAGTAGTCTACGATAATTCCTGACAAAGTATCTAACAGGTATTTATGAAAAGTTGAGTATGGCATAAGGCCATAAGGAGTGGCCATCGAGGATCGAAATCAGTATGATAGTTATTACAGTAGAGTTATTAAACTGCTAATCATTGTTCCACGGTAAAACAGTTGGCATTTAAATTCAGCTTAGTCTGGCGTAAGGCCATACGTTAGGAATATCTAATAGGAATTGGAGTTAATACAATAATAATAGTATGCTTGTTGTGCAGGTAACGTGGCAGATATCGGTGCAGTAAATGGAATCGGTGAGGCGAGTTCAAATTTCGCCCGAGTTTGTTGCATTTACTTTCGCACAAATGCTTGTGGGGGAAAAGAGTATGAATCTGTCTTTTCTCCTCCTAGCAATGGGTTAAATATCATAGTTGCTTTGGGTGGCAACCAATCTAAAAGAAGGAAAAGTCTGAATTAAAAACCTCGAAGAAAGCAACGTGAAACCACTTCACTATCCTTTCTAAGAATGCCTGACGATTTACAGACAAAAAGGAATCTGTTTAGAGTTATGATCGCCCACGTCCTGAAGGAACATTGCATTTTTTTATATCTCAGATTCAGTTAATTCTCTTTAGTAACTCAACTCTCCACATCTCTGCCGTGACCAGGTATTGAACTCACAATTCTTAGGGTTAAGTCACTTTTTAAATTACTTTAACCAACGCTTTTATCCACCATGTCTTTGGGAACATACTAAATAGTATAAATCATTATAATACTTCATCTCAGAAATATAGACAGATATATGTCAATCTGTTTTTACATTTTATTATATCACTGTCATTGTAATTATCATATGAGAATATTCTATGTTAAGTCTTTTAGTAATGTCTTTGATTGATCAGCTTACTTGGCATCTTCCAATTCGTCGGCGCGAGCGGTTCCCTCGCTCTCAAATTTGGATCTCCATTGTTGTACTTCGGCATTGGCGCGAGAAAGAGCTCTCTGGAGATCAGATTTGGATTCTTGTTCTTCTTCAAGGGTCTCCCTGATTCCATCGATGTCAGCATTCAGATTACGTACTTCAGCCTGGAGCTTAGCACGGAGCTGCAAGAAATTGAATGACAAGTATAAAATAGGGTTTATTGTCCTCCGTGGAAAAGATACAGGCAGTGTAACAGCTACGGCATTCTACACATGTGCACATACATATAAGTACAGGTGTACACACACGCACATACAAGAAGGAACTCAACCGAACAGCGATAAAAAAAACGCATAATTTATTATTTTTTAAACTTAATATAAAAATAACGAAGATGAGGAAATCGGCAGAAAATTGTTGATATCTTCTGATGAGTGGAGCGAACGATTACAAAAAGGTTCGTCAACGAATATTTGGAGTTTCTTAATATTGAAGTGAAATCAATCAAGGAATGCGCCATATATATATATATATATATATATATATATATATATATATATATACAAACGCAAGAAAATATGTTTTCTTATTTCTGAAATAGAGAGATAAATAAGGTGAGAAAGAAGAGATAAAAAGAGCCAAATAGATAGATAGATAGATAGATAGATAGATAGATAGAGTTGAATTAACTAGCAATAAAATGCCTGGCTATGAGAATATATTAAGGTGGCAAGTTTTGAGTACCTTCCTTCTCGCCTTTTTTCACTCAAAGCATAAACTGTTCGATTTTATTAAACTTTACTTACCCTGCCCTCATCCTCAAGACTGCGTTTGGCGTCTTCCAAATTGTTATTCAAGCTGGACTTGAGTTTGCTCAATTGACCGACATTGTGTTCGGCTTCCTCAAGTTGCCTAGTGAGATCAGCAGCCTCAGTTTGGAGTCTAGATTTCTGGCTGGTGAGTTCGCTAATAGATCTGGACTGATCGTCGATCTTACCGTTAAGTTCAGAGAGTTGAGCCTCCATTTGTTTGCTCATCTTCTCGGAGCATCCCTGTTGTGAACAAGAAAAATGCGTTTAGTTAAAAGCCGTCGATAAGAATACATAATCAGGTAGAACCAATTTCGCAGCTTAAGGGATACTGACGATAAAATTACAAATGATTTTGGAGTCATTTTTATATGTTAAAGAAAGGGAGATAATATTGAAAAGAAAATTTTCGATATATATTTATTTTTAATAAAATTCCTTTAAATTGTTTTGATAGTCTAAATTGAAAACTGAATTCGTGACAACTAGTCATTTGTTATAAGATGGAACAATTATCGAATTATTTAAAAAATAGACTATTTTTTATTCGGCATTATTATACTGGTTTGATATTTCCAGAAGATTTATTAAATGGCAAATTCAACAAATATTTTATTTTTCCAGTAAGAATTGGTTATATAATAACAAATCTTTCTTGGTCTGAATGAAGCACAAACAGTAAATAAATGATTGGATTTTTATTTTCATATAATTCTATATTGTACGTGATTCTTACAATAATGACACAAACATGCGACACTGTACACCGAATTGTGCACACACACATTTAAATAATAATACAATAAGCTTCTAAGCTGCATTTTCATTGGACGAAATCTATCACGTGGGCCATGGCGTATCGTAAGTCATGCTTGGGAAAGAAATGCGACAGGGTGATTAAAAAAAGGCGGTCAAGAACAGGCTCAAAAAAAAAAAAAAAAAAAAAAAAAAATCTGACAATACATGCAGCATATGTTTTTATAGAATAGCTATATTGGCAAGCTGGCGACCAGACGATAATTTTGTAGGTAGAGCATTATCATTTTTGCGAGCAGTTTTTTTCCAGCGAAATATATACCCCTGTATTCTAAAACAAAGTTTCGTAGTAGTTTCTTTCGATTTTTCCCTCGATCAAATACATCCATAGTTTTTCTGACCACCAATTTGGTAAGCGTTAACATCACGTATTTATATTCTAAGGGTAGCTTAGACGTGGCACAACGCCTAAAGTATGGGGCTCCCAGTGAGGAACGAACTCACTATTCAGTTGCAATTGATCTAGCGAGACAAGCTTGCTAACCATTACACCACGTCGAAGTGCCCTAAACGTTAATATTAATGAATCACATTTGAATATTAATATCTGTTATCTATATTCCCAGCAGTCGTCGTTATAGGCACACCCACAAAAAAGTGGCACATGTGAGAAATCGTCATTGAAAAACTATGGAAAGAAATATTATAAGACATTAAGTATATTTATGATTTCTCCCTCTCATATATATATATATATATATATATATATATATATATATATATATATATATATATCACACATACAGATCCATTACTGAAATTATGCACTCAGTATTATATCAGTTATATTTACAATGTCTCTCTCTCTATATATATGTATGTATGATAAAATATAGTTTAAGGTATGCTACATTATGGATAAAAGTGCTCAATATCAGAGATAGAGTGTACGTAAATATAAAAATGAAAGTAGACACTAGGGTCAACACCAAGAGGTGACAGTCTGTTTCATGCGTGAAAGCAATCTTCAGGCCATGTCTATATATAGTACTTTAATTTTCCGAATAGCCTCATTTTTTTTTTAATTTTCTGATTCTTTCCTTCAATTTCCAATTTTTTCCTCGATCTTTCTAAACGATTTAGTAATCATTCGTACTATATAGTTACATTCATATTCCGTTATTATTATTATTATTATAATTACTAGTAGTAGTAGTAGTAGTAGTATTTGTGAATTTTCCCGTTTATTTCTGGCAGTCAACACTAGAGATGGTAAGTTTTTCCAAATCTCCAGCTTCCTTCTCATTATCCTGGCAGACTCCAGGCACAATATGGTCTGGACAGTCTCGATACTTTTTCGTATTCCTAATTCATTTAATTTTGCTTCTAATGTTTTTCCCCTATTACAAGTCTGCCAAAGATTATCGATATAACCCTAACCTTTGATGTTCTACAATTTTCACAGATCCCAAGTAAGGCCTTGGCTACATTTCTAACTATTGTTCTGTTTAGGTTGAAATTTACTAAATCTTGTTCGTATGCTTCCGATTCTGGTAAATTTTAAGGCTACTTCATGCATTAGCGAATAGTTCAGCATATTGCAGCAATTTATTGCTTTTTATTATAACCCCCAAGTGCATGACTATTTTTTGCTGGTGCTTAGACAGCCTGTGCATTTGAAGGCAGCGACAAGTGCAAATAGATGTGACGTGTACAGTACAGTACAGTACGGTGTACAGTTATTGTACAGTGCAGCGTAGTACAGAGATTACCATGTTCTTCTCTCGTTGTTTCATCTCTATCATCAGTTCGTCGATGTGTTCTTTCATTTCTTGTTTCTCTTTTTCTAATCTGAATGGAGGAGGAATACAATTCGGCGCATGCAAGTAAGTTAGCCCATTTCACATCACAGCAAAAAATAAATAAAAGAGAAAGTAAGAAAAACTAACTAGACTAGATAAATGGAGGTGAGTGATATTTGGCAAAAAAAAAATTAGTGGTGGGAAGACAGGACAACGGAAAGATCTAGAGAAGAGAAATGACTAGCCGATAAAAGAAAACTTATGCAAGATAGATATTTGGTTGGTGCATAATTATCAGGCGTTTTTGTAGGCGAGTTATTTGTTAATAAAAATTGCTGTTTTGTTTACTTTTTTTTTTTTAAATAAAAATATTTAATATTCGGGTTATGAATATGCGTGCCGATAATCATACTCATTTAAAAATGTTATTGTTGAGTTGTTATGTTTTTTTTTTCATAATAAATATTGTTTAAAAACGCCTGATAATTATGCACCAACCCAATAGATAAGAAGATAGAAAGAGAGATAAGGTGGAAGGTAAGAAAGAGAGATAAGGTGGAAGGTAAGAAAGAGAGATAAGGTGGAAGGTAAGAAAGAGAGATAAGGTGGAAGGTAAGAAAGAGAGATAAGGAGGAAGGTAAGAAAGAGAGATAAGGAGGAAGGTAAGAAAGAGAGATAAGATGGAAGGATGATAGACAGATGATAGACAGAGAGAGAGAGAGAGAGAGAGAGAGAGAGAGAGAGAGAAAGAAAAGTAGATAGAGCGAGGTAAAGATAGAGACAACGCGGTAAAGCGATGTCGAAAAGAGAGGAAGATCAAAGTCAAGAGAGAAAGAGAGAGAGAGAGAGAGAGAGCGAAGAGATATAGACAGAGAGTGCGAAGTAAAGAAAGCGATAGATGAGGTAAAGGAAACTATATAGAAGTTCATGAAGCAAGAGAAAGAAAGGTAAAAAGAGATTGAAAAAAAGAAAGAAAAGAAAACGAGAAATATCTGTTTAAAAAAGGTCAAAACATTCACTCATAGATACATGCATATAAATATTATATGACATATATAAGTTATTATATACGATATATAAGTTATATGCAAGTGTATATACGAAGAATAAAGTACATAGATACGAAAGAGGGTTTCTAGAAGTCTAGAATATTAAATTTCACTCAGGTCAGCAAAATCATGTTAAAAGAGGTGAAACATATCAAAATGCTTATCGAGAAGGTGGGAGAAAGAGTAGAAGGGAGAGGTTTTTAAATGAATCAAGAGGCAAGTTGAAGAAAACTAACAAAAACAAATCAGAAAAAAAAATATTGGAAGACCAGGGTAGCAACTCCACATTTTTTGGGGGGCGGAGTAGAATTAAATAGAAGGTTTCACTCGGGCAGATTAATTTTTTTTTTTTCGTTTATGTGTATTCATTTTTTTTCTCCTTTGGTTACACGATAGACAAGGCACTGAAACTCAGCAAGGCATGCCGGGTTGGACACAATTCCGAGTAAACGGAAGTTGCCGATGGATTGAACTATTAATTTACCCTGTTTTTGCCAGCGTGTTCGATCTGGCTCTGGAGGTCATCCAATTCACCCCTCAGTTGAGATTTCTCTTTCTCGAGTCTGAAAACAAGTGGAATCATTTAAAGAAACTTTCTTTATTATTTTATATATATATATATATATATATATTTATCTTTGTTTGTTTGTCTGCCACCCTTTCTTCTGAGCTTCCGTTTTGGACTTTGCCCCAAAAAAGTCCTCCATTTTCTTCGTTCTTCAAAACGGCAATGAAATCAGCCATTGGCTTATTTGTCATTTTAAAAAAAATTCTTTGTGTTTTTATGTTTGTCTTTCAAAATATTGTATTTTTTTTTAATTCATAGTCTGTTACTGTGTTAAGCTTCAAGAATTGAAAGCTTAACCAGTAGTAAATTCAAGCAAATATACTTTTTATCGTTATGCTGTTGCTTGAAAACTTTGAAATTTATATATTTTTTATTTGAAAAAATATTTTTATTTTAATATTTTATATATTATTTTACCGTTGCATAAAATTGCAGAGACAGACACGTCTACACACAAATGCACACATACAAAAACAATACTCTGTCCAGTGGCAAAAGCTGTTGGTGACACCACGGGTGGCAGTACTGCCTTAGCGAACGAAACTATGTTACCTCCCCTGGTTGGTGACTGATTAGGGCAGGGCATCGCACGTATTTTCACACGTTTTATGTAGAAAATTAAAGAATTCGTTAATATTTTCTATTCGTTTTGTATTGTCTCACCATTTCAGAAGATTTGACCTTTACTGAAAATGGTTAAAATATTGAACTGTTTCAGATGGCATCAAGTACGCACCAAGAAAACAAGACCTAAAACGTTTTACACGAATCCCCCTTCCCCCATTAAAAAAAAGGTCAATATAAGTTGAGGCTTAATGTAATAACATTTTGCCAACCATCTTCGAAATGAAAACTCTGGATTTCTAATCAACCCTCAAAATCTAATGAAAGTTTCGTGGACTTTTAATTAAGTTGCTACATAAAAAAATATGTATGAAAAAAGTGGGTAAAATGATCCAATTTGGGGACAGGGGCAATTTGGAGGGCAGGGGCAATTTGGGGACATTCTATGTTTGTTTAAATACTCTGTTTTATAGCAAATATAAAATACAAGTCGATGGAATGTGCAGGTGATTTACAAAAGTCTTTTCGTCAAGACAGACAATTGCTTTCAAAAGACCTTTTTCAACATACAAGGAGGTGCTGAAAAGTTCTCCAGCCGACATAGTTTCCACAATCTGGCAATATGCCACATATCGGATTTCTCTTTTTGGGAAAGTTCTTGGGTGGGTCAAAAACTTTACATCACCTTTCATATATTTCTTCATAATCTTACATTGCAATTCATTAATCATTAGAAAAATCTTTAGAAAGGAATTATAATGATAACATCATAAATATTTGAAAAAGATATATTACTGTCGGACTGGTAACATTAAATGACATTATAATTATATTATTGGCCGACTGATAAAATTAAATGGCACTATATTTACCTGCTCTTCACCTTCTGGAGCTGGTCAATTTGGTCACCGAGTTCATTTGTAGCTTCCTGATTCTTTTTGCGGAGAGTAGCGATTTGGGATTCGTGTTGCATGTTACTTTCTTCAAGATCACGACGCAGGCGCAAAAGCTCCTGTTCGCGTTTCTTGTTGAGTTCCATCTGGTTGTCGGAAAGGAAAAGATAAATAAATAATTAATAAATAAATAAAAATAGGTACCGGTTAAAAGATTTGTTAGAAGTTGCTAAAGTGTTCCCCCATCTCAAAATAGTATATTACATTGTTTGGTGAATCTTTTTTAAAACTTAAAAAAAAAAAAAAATGAACTGACGAGAGTCGCTGTACCGAAAATTAAACATAATAAAGAATAACTAATTTACTTTTCTAAATTTCAATGTCACAAATGTAGATTATCCAGTGAAGATCAAATTCACTTGGGCAGTAATAAACATAAGGACATAAGTCTGGGCCATTAGTGAGGATTGAACCCATAACATTAGCTAATGGCCTACGTGATTAATAATTTAATTAATAATAGTGATTTTCCAAGCGTAGCTTAGATGCGGCACAAGGCCAAATATATGGGGCACCCAGTGAGGATCGAACTCCCTACTCAGTCGTAATTGTTCTAGCGAGACACGTTTTCTAACCATTACACCGCTTCGAGGTGCCTAATTTAATTAATAATGTAATGGTCTCAGAGTTCCTCCCATTTCGATTGCAGGTTTCTTCAATTCTTCCTCCATTTTGAATTCTATTTTTTATTCTTTTTACAGTGATGATTCTTTGGACAATTTATTAAGCCAGACCACTTTTTTAAAAAATTGATCTTATTGCAATGGTTCATTAAATTTCCATTTAATTTAATAGCAAATTCTTCCCCCTTGATAATATTTGCAGTACATGAAGAAGACTTTACCTGAGCAGCTGTGGCTCCGCCAGCTTCATCCAAACGTTCACCAAGTTCTTCCAATTCACGGCTGAGCTCTGTGCGTTGTTTCTCAACCTGTTTTGGGTGAAAAGAGAGAGAGAAAAAATTAATTGATTTAAAGTTAAAACGTTTTGGGAAGCGGGAAATTTAATCAAGGAATGTAAAAACCCAGTTATTGCTAATTTTCTGAATTTTTATTGAAAAGGCACCCATATTCACAGAACTTAAGACGATTACTTGGTCACTTATTTTCGCGCTTCATTTTACTTAAAATTATTGCCATATGATTCAAAGAATACTCAGGGCCTTAAAGAATTTAGTCTACAGTGCCTTTTTAACAGTAAGTTCCATCCTGTACAAAGCTCAGGGGGCAGGGGGCACTAGAAGTAGAGGGTCACATTAAGTGGTAATTTATATGGATAGGAGGGGAAGATATCTGTTAACTCTAGACTTGAACAGGTCATAACAATCTATTATATTATTACTAATTATTTTTAAATATTGAGCAATTTGTTTACAAAATTTCTGCTTGCTTTTATGCTCCAGTAATTTATTGGCCAACGTCTTTTATTTTGTGTTAACGATTTGTGCTTATATATAAGGATTGATTGATTTTATATAATAAATAATGACTTTTAAGTCAATTAATTTTGAGAAGACAGTGTAGAAATGAATATCTGAAGACTTGTTATTTATCTAGCTTCATTTGGCACACTGCAGCATATATGAGGCACTTAGTGAGGATCGAACTCAGTAGTAATATACCATCAGACTAGCTCGCTAACCATTACCCCACACCGAGTCGTCCCAGCAGTGTGCTTGCTCTCTCTTCCCAATTAGGGAAACGTTTATATTTTCATGTTTATTTTTAGAGTTTGTCCCCGTCTACACCCCCCACCACCACCACCAAGAAGTGAGTAAGACACAGACGGCACGTGCCAGTGCCCTCCCCTCCCTTCCAACTGAAGAAACTCTTCGCTCTTCCGTGTTTGTTTTTTTAACAACTGTGGGTTCAGGGGGAAAAGCATAAAGAAGGACTTCCAGAAGTAGTAAGGGGAGTCGGAATGTGGGTCTGGGAGTGCGTAGTGGGGTGGAGCGGGAGGAGATGGGGGACGATAGTGGCAACGATGAAGGAAAAAAAGAAGATTGTAGGCGGTAGGACTGATTTGCTTTTCTTCTTTTTCTCCAGATGTCACTATAGCTTGTTGGTAGATCATTATACGCTATAAACTTTACAAACAGCTGTTGATGGAGTAAGATAGATAGATAGATAGATAGGATGTACACAGAAATAAGTAATATATTTAATTTCCGCTTTCATTATCATCATCATCATCATTTAGTGTTACGCTTAAAATGCTCTAGTCATTTTTTCTTTGGTGGAGATTCGTTATGAAGCTGTATCTTTCCCTAGAAATGACGTCAATTCACAGATAATAAAGCAAAGGAAGCTGTGAAGAGCCATGATCGCCTACGTCCTGATTGATATGGCATCAAAAAATTACCTTTGGACGGGCATCACATGTCACAAACACCAGGATAAAACTGGTAACTGTGATAATTTTGGTCACGATAATCGAGATTTTTCATACCGTCGCATCTTTAGTCTTGCACCTGATCACCAAAACAGTGACCACCCGGTGAGGATTAAACTCGTTACACCGGCGCATCGGTCTGGGAGGAGAGCTCCTTAACTATCACAGTAGGTGTGATTTTAATATAGAGTATATTTACTAGGTTAATTTTGCTCTACTACATATGAACAAAAATATTTTCACACAGTTTAATCAGACATGAGTGAATTTCGGTGTGGTGGAGGGATCCTTTGGAAGACCGGTTCTCGTTCGATCACTGAAGTTAAGCAAAGTTGAGCCTGGTCATTACTAAGATGAGTGGCCGCTGGGCAATGAATACTAGGTGTCATAAGCTAAGTGACAGGCCTAGCAAGCAGGCAATGGATACCATCTTGCTATTTATACGAACAGTAGACCTCAATATGTGGGGGTGATTCTGAACCGACAGGTCGTAAGGACCTAGCTGGAGTTGGGTGAGTGGTGAACTGTGGCGAAGGCGGATTCTCAGGGTCTAAGGTCTTTAAAATGAATTCAGGGAATTGATTTCGGTTGAGGTAGCTTAGCTCTAATGTCTTCTTGAAAGGCATGAATCCATATCTCCCTGCCATCTATATAGGAACCAAAGGTAGGTGAGAAGGAGTATTGTAGTTATCAGCATTGAGAGTCGGATCAGTGAACAGATTTCAAATTTTGGCTATGAATTCCAAAGGAAAGGCATGAATTCACTTCTCCCTGTAATTGATTACATTGTCAGAGAATTGACAACTGATTGTTCGTCATCTCATGTTCCTACTCTTCTATCTCACACTTATATCCCTTCGTTATGCGTTAAGTCTGGCACAAGGACGTATGTGTGGAGCAACCAGTGAAAACGAACTATGCACAAAGTAGTAATGGAATAGCTCGTTAACCATTATCCAGCTCTGAGACGCTCAAGTAATTCCTCCATATTTAGAAAGAAGTGTTTATTCGTATATGACAAAGAAAGAGAGAGAGAGAGAGGGGATTAAAGAAAAAAGAGAAGAGAGAGGGAGAAAAGAAAGGATAAAGTAAAAGAAAAGAGAGAGAAATGGATTAAGAGAAAGGAAAGAGGTAAAGAGAGAGGAAAGAGGTAAAGAGAAAGGAAAGAGGTAAAGAGAAAGGAAAGAGAGAGAAAGGGGTAAAGAGAAAGGAAAGAGAGAGAAAGGGGTAAAGAGAAAGAAATAGGTGAAGAGAATGAAAGGGATAAAAGAGAAAGAAATGAAAGGATGAAGAAAAAAGAATGAAAGGGATAAAGAGGAAGAAAGGAGAATGAAAGGGATAAAGAGGAAGAAAGGAGAATGAAAGGGATAAAGAGAAAGAAAGGAGGAGAAAATGAAAGAAAGAAAAGAGAATGAAAGGGATAAAGAGAAAGAAAGGAGAATGAAAGGGGTAAAGAGAAAGAAAGGAGAATGAAAGGGATAAAGAGAAAGAAAGGAGAATGAAAGGGATAAAGAGAAAGAAAGGAGAATGAAAGGGGTAAAGAGAAAGAAAAGAGAATGAAAGGGGTAAAGAGAAAGAAAAGAGAAATTAAGAGAGAGCGAAAGAAAGAGGTAAATAGAAAGGAAAAAAGAAAATAGGTAAGGAGAAAGGCAGAGAGAAGTAAAGATCAAAAGTGACGGAGAGAGACAGAAAGTCGAAGAGAAAGGATGAGAGGGAGAGGAAATAAAAGAGGAGAGGTAGAGAGAGGTGGAAAGAGAGGGGCAGAGAGCGAGACTGTTTCACTCACATAATTTCGGATATTTCTAATAACTTGGAAGTTACCCCCCACAAAAAAAGTAAGTTATTAAGGCCACAAATATTCCAAGATTGTGGAACAAGCGAATAGCCCATAAACGGGTGGCTAATTTTCGAGGATATACTCCAATGCCTACATAAAGACTCGGTGCTTAGACAACATTCCTGGGGGTGGAGAAAATAAAAACCGAAGAAAAGAAAGAAAGAGAGAAGAAGTGTATAAGGAAGAAAAAAAAAGAACAAAAGTTTAAAAAGAGAGAGAAAAAAAAAAACGAATTAATCTAATGCATGTAGGTGTGCACGTCTGCGTCTTAGAAATTTTTCTACCTTCGCTCACAAAGAGTCTGTTCGCACGTAAGCAATTCGTGGGGTATATTTTTAGCACCAGTTGCCACGATCTCGCATGTTATAACCATGAAAGGAGATTTCTTATTTTCAAGATTGTTTGCAGGTGAAGGCTAGGGGTTTGCAGACAAATTGCCAAGGGCGGAGTCTTTCGAGAACAAACCGAGGAAGCTTAGGGACGAGGATGAGGGTAGTATATCAGGAAGAGAGAAACTTACCTTGGTTCTGGCTTGGCGTTCAGCTTCGAGTTCTTCCTCGAGTTCTTCAATTCGGGCCTGAAAAATAGAAAAAAAAAAAATATATATATACAGAGTTTTTTTTTCCTTTTAACGTCACTGGTTTTAGCATGATTACAATCAAATACAAAACAGAAAAGAGCAACTTTGTATACGCATGTATGTTTAAGTTTCGGAATCTTAATTAACTAGAAAATAAAAGCCTAAATGTCTTTTTTTTTTACAGTGAAGTTCACCCACTACAAAGCCCGAGAGCCAATCAAGGTAGAGGATTGCAGAGTAAGAAGCACAGTTTATGCTGATATGTGGTGAAGATAACGGTTAACCCTAGACTTGAACAGGTTAAGATTGTATTGATCGTGAAATTCTTGGGAGTCAGTGCCACAGAACAACAATTCACAGGAAGAAGTTGCTCGAGTGGTGCTTACATCTCACTAATGAAATACGGAGAGAATGAGGATGATTTGCTATAATGCGCGCAGCATGGCGGGTCCTAGCCGTGAAGCTTAGAAACTAAGGAATTTATTTCTCCTGAGCACTTTCTATTGAAGTATATTACAGTGAGAGGCGTCTTTTTTTTTCGATTATTGATCGAAAATTAGTATTTAAATTTCTATATACATGTACATAATCACTGATCCGAAATTCTGGAAACCACAATTCTCTAAAATCCGTAATAAACAAGACATGTTTGGTTTTCGGATTTTTTTCTAATTAAAAAATGCGCCAAGTTTATAATTTTAATCTGCAGTAGAAATTAAACTTCTCTATAAAGAAATAACCTATCCGAAATAAAATAAAAAGCTTTAAAAAAGTACAGAAAAAAATCTTTTTTCTTCAGATTTTTTATAGTCTATATTTATTTTACTTTATCAGTTTGCATATAAACCATATCGTCAGTGTATTTCGAAACGACCAAAATCCAGAGACGGATATGCAATGTGATTGGCCCTGATCTGGCATCTCGTCTACAGTCGCTTCCCTCTATCTTTTCTACAAATACTTTCACAGTAACTGCTCCGACGAGCTACTTTCGCTGGTTCCCAAACTTCATGAATTTAAACGTGCTACTAGGTTGGTATCTCAGTTCAACCCTTTCACTGTCGAAACGGTTAAATATAGCCGTCTCTTCTACTCCAAGAGCTTCATGTCTTGCACTTCCCGTCTGTGGAACTCCCTTCCCCTTACTTACTTCTCTGATAGCTATAATCTCCAAATATTCAAATGCAATGTCGATCGACATCTCCAGATGCCTTCATCTATCTCCAGCCCTTCTCTTCATCCTTTCCTTTATCACGCCCCTATACTATTGCTCGCACTCTCTCTAACCCCTTGCATGCAAGTGGCACCCCCGCCTTGCTTGGGGTGAAGTGCTTAAAAAATATGTATTTCTTTCTTCCATTTATTAAATAAACAAAATAATTTCTATAAACGACATAATGTTACAAAAACAAAAAGAAAACCGTTATTGCGCATTTTTATACTGAATTTCCATATTTAAGGTGTCCTTACGTCCTTCCTTTTTAAGCATCACGCCGACGCTATATAGTCTTCATTTATCTCAACCAGATTGAATATTGATAAAAGGCACTCTGCTGAAAGTTTTCCATTTCCAAACAAATTGTCTACCTTATATAATGTAGCTGTTCTCTTTCTCTTTATATACGAGTCCCTTCACAGCGAGGGAAATCATGACTCTCCATAGCTTCCTGGTTTTTATTGCTTTCTGTATTTATAACCACTATTTCTCTTTGTACTTGTTCCCCTACTCATTACGAAAACCAAAGACTGAAATGAGTCTGGTTCCAAGAGTGCTTCCATAGTTTTCTATATGGCTAAATTATTGGGCACACAGTGAGGATCCAACTCACTATATCAATCTATAGCATCCACGGCGATACTCTGATAGCCGGGCTTTGTGTAGTATAAGGTTAGAGTCGAGAGGCGCCCAGTGAGAGCCAAATTCAACGCACTTGCTAAGTAGATTGAGAGACCAGCTTATCAATAACTGCTTACTAATAATTGCCACACGATGATGGTCACATAGTTAGATACTAAGCTTGTCTCAGTTTAGTACAAGACTAGAGTCGGAGGGCACCTGGTGAGGATCAAATTCATCGCACTAGCTAAGTGGTATGAACTAACTAATCATTGCACCACGGTGTAACTCCCTTATAGCTGTATACTAAGGTTGGTGGTACAAGGGCCGGAGGACACCCAGTATGAACCACTTGCTAACTGATGCACTATGGTAGGCGCCTAATGTTGCTTTACAGTTATTCAAATGTTTTAGTAGATAAAAAAGATAAATAAACAAGTTCAAGAGCTCAATCAGCGTCAGTAAAATATCGTCCTTTTGTCTGTACATTTTAATATATATATTATAATCAAGGAAATTCATATTTGAAATTTGAATGTCTTAAGCAATTCTATTGACGCCATTACGACTTAACCAACTCAGAAAATAATATTATAGAAATTAAACAAATAAAAATTTACTAAATCCGTTATTTCATACTGTATTCAAGAATTCTACTGATTCTACTAGTTACACTGAAAGTACCTTTTATATTTACTGGGCCAACGCAAACGCATAACCTACCTAGCAAATAGTCAGGGTTTAGGAAAGATAACAAAAAGTCAAAAATTATTAAGATTTATAAAAGACAGGAAATTATGGAGAGCCATGATCAGGAAAGTCCTGAAGGGACATGACACATAGAAGACCTATGTATAAGTTGCTTATAAAAATAATTTAAGGTTTAAGGAAACAACTGAATAATTCCAAGGTAATCTCATTCAACAATTATATCGTAATAAATAAACGTGAAGAAACTAGAAACTGAAACAAAAGTCATACGTTGCGTATATTTTTCGCAAAAGCGCAGTAGTTATAATCATAATTCAAACAAAAAAGTGTTTGATTTCATTTACTTATTCGTTGATGTTTTCGATTGTAATTAAAAAAAAAATGTTTTCCTGAATTGTAAAGAGATGCACGCAGTTAGCTGGAATCACTTCCTTGGAACGAGGTTTAATATTAAGATATAACACGATCGAAATTGTGTTTATATTGTCTCAGTGAAAGGATAATCATCCATTACATATTTGATTAAGTGCATTTTCTTAATTTATCTTAAAAAAAAATAAAATAAAATAAAAGTAAAGTCTTATAAACGATATATCATAGCGAGAAATTTATGTAGTGTATACAATAAAGCGGTTGCATGTTTAAAGTTGATATATTAGCTGCTTGGAATAAATATTTGTATTTTTTAAATAATAATAATGAATTATTATTATAGATGTGAACATTGTGTGAATCATGGGGTTAAAGAACGTTTCCAAGAAATAATGCACAAATATAGTAATAGACAAGTTACTTGAATATATATATATATATATGTGTGTTTGTTTCGCGTCGTTGTATTATGTATTTCTAGAAATATTACTCTGAATAAGTAAACAATTATTTGCAAAAAACGACCGATTCTTGAGACAGCTTGTTAATCTTTTAAAAATTATCAATATTGTTTTTCTGTCTTTTGAAAAACGTATATTCTTTTAGCTTTGTAAATAACGTTTTTGCCAGGTTATGTGGTGAAGGCAACTGTAGTTGTCTCCTCTTTGAATTATTCGACTATAAAAGAAATCTCGCTTATCAAATTGTATTTAATGAAGCTTCGCTACAAGCTTTAAAGATTTGCCTGTTTTACTTTAAAGACTATTATTATGACTTCTGATAAAACATAATATTTGGATTACGATCTGATATTTCTCAATTTCTCAAATTTGTTTCTTTATGTTTGGGAATGTGCATAAAAAGAATTATTCGAATAAATTTTCTTTGAGCATAAAAAGTAAAAACTAATATAAAATTCAAACTAACGAAAAAAGTTACTGCAAAGAACAACATGACATTGCTTAGTGCATAACAATTTGTTAAGTTGTGAAAGAAACTTTTTTATGTAATTAAATTAAAAAATACGTGTTTTGTTGATAAAATGTATGAGGATTCGAATTTGTTTTGAAAAGAGAAAAATATTTCGCCAACTTTTCATTAAGTATACGTCAGCGATTCTTTTTGCTGTGAGCAGACGACATTTTTAAAAAAAAAATTAGACAACATGTAAGTTAATTTCGGATAAATTGTTTCCTACTTTGGTATTATTATTATTATTAATGCCCACTATTTATATTAAATAACATTTTAAATAGTTACATTTTAAACTTTTACGAAAATATTGTTTATACTTTTCGATTTATAAAATTAATATTGGATTTTTTTTGCTAATTCTAGCGTATTAATTAACGAACCTACCTTTTCATAATATTTGTTCTTGCTTTTCCATGATAATTTTTGGAGACTAGATTGTAATTATGAAGAGTATAATTCGCATTATATATTTTAATGATGAAAAAAAAGAAAGAAAAAGAAAAAATGGAAGACGAAGGAAGAACTTGTTTAAGTATAAGAAAATTAAGAAAAAAACAAACAAAACTTGTTTTCTTTGAGAGAAGAAAATAAATAAACGAACCTAGGGCAGAAATTTAGGCTTAAGAATAACACTAAGCAGAAAGTAAATTTGTTTTTGGTGAAAGAAAATTGGATGAAATTATAATGATGAAGAAATGATAGGCCAGACGAAGAAGCAAGCAAAAGAAACGAGAAGAAAATAAAAAAATTGTTATACTAAGAAAAAATAAGAGTATAAGTATCAGATCTAATCTGTGTTCCGGTAGTCGTCAGAATGTATTGTCTGCACTTCCATTTTTGTACAATCCGTGTAACTGTAGACATTCCTTGATGACATAATAGCGCAAAACCTTGGATAATTTCAACATGGAGGCAAACAACCGCAATTTTCGTTTTGCCGTCAATGTGTTCCGTTTTTGTTATTTTTAGAGCAAAATTGTTTGTTTCCCGTTTATTTTTCAGTTGGGTCATTTTCTGGTAAAAAGCAGCACCCGCGAAAAAAAAAAAATGGCAGAATTCTATACTTTTTCTGGGTCGTTTGTTCTTAATTGTTTTTAGTCTA